GCAATCTTTTTGTTCCAAAGGGAAATAACTCTCCTTTTGAAATGATATAAGCGACGGTCCAAACTGTCACTGCCGGTGTGGTTCCCGTATCAATGCGCGCTGCGACAACTACACTCTCCAACCCAGAGTTCCATGCGGCCGGTGTCATTTATACCGGTACAGTTCCGCCCCTCTCGAAATAAATTCTCCCCCACCCCACGAAATAAAATCTCCCCCCAGAATATTTCCTCCCCCGGTCGTTTTATAAATACTTGCCATGCAGTTCAATAGTTGCCAAACACTTCTGATAGAGACGATGTTTAGAATGTGGAGTGAAAAGGGCTTCACTTTGAGCACTGTGTTTTCTTTACTACTGCAATATGAGACAATAAAGTGGTATATAGGTGGATATAATATTAGTCGTTAGATATAAAAAATGTTTAGTAACTTAAGAAGTTCTAGGACAGTTATTAACACATGTCGTGTCAGCCCTATTACATTCGCGATTGTCCACTTCCAGAAAACATCCTGTGTTGGTTTAACATGAATTAGTAAATGTTAATTAGGGATGCCCATAACGTTAATTAATGAAAGACGAGTAGTCAAAACACTGTCATTTCCTGCCCAGGACATCACACCCCTACACGCTAAGGTCGGTGAGAAACATTCTCATAAAAAAACACATACACAGTCAAGACTGTAGATTCCCGTCGTCTAGCTACAAATCCCTGTGATGTATTAAAGGTTGAAGAATTTTGAACTGAACTGTCCGAAAGTTTATATCTAAAATGTTGGAATTGGATACAGTGATAAAGTCTTATATCAATATGTAGACTCATAAATATTGGTTTTATGTTTCAACGGAGATATGATATTTTCTTATGAAATATCGCGTATTAGTGTAATTTGCATGCTTTATTCATTGTACCATTCTAAACCATGTGAATGTTGTAATATCAGTCAATCGGATGGGAAAACAGCCCAATCCTCGCTCTATAAAGGACCATGTCAATCATTTGTAAGTTGAAATGACCCCTGATACTTTATGAATACTTTATAACAGTTTATTCATAAACTTAATGCTTCGTACTATAGGCCTGTGACCTCTTCAGTGCTGAATAAAGATTGAAAATACATCAGTCAATCAAAGATGAAGGTAACTTTATACATCAGAGTTCTTTAGAATTAGTTCATGTTTTGTTCTTACACTAACATTTCAACCATCGATTGTGTTCACATGTAGACTCAAACTGGTATATTAAAAAATGTATACAGACAACAACAATTGTATTAGAAACAACAAACTCTGTAGAGACTCTTGTCTCCCATCCTTTGTTTGGTATGATTATGTCTTATAATTATTTTAGGATGGAAGGTACAGTTACCAAATAAAATATTCTGAAATATCAATTCATTATGACCATATTTCATAATCTATTTTTTAAAGTAACCCTCCTTACATTAAAGATAACTATTTAAAGAATATAGTACTTAAAGACATTGCAACAAACCGAATAATCGGGGGGAGACTTTATACTGAGGGGGGCGCGAAATATATCCGCCCGGGGATTTTATTTCAGAACAGATTCGCCGGGGGAGAATCTGTACCGGTATAAAATCTCCGAGGGGAGGATTTGTACGGGGGAGAGTTTATACCGGGACACCGGCAGAAATCGTCTTCGAAAACGTCAAACACTATGTCAGGAACACTTCTTTTCACCACTTCTTTTGTGGGCTGCGCGGATGTTTCAGATCCACCGGTTCAATTGCCATGTCCTGAGTGTTCCTAACCGGGCCTTTACACGGGATGGCGACTTTTGTCATTTCCGTGTGCGACCATAACATTTCTCAGGTCGTCGTTGGAGGCTCGACCAGGAGAATGGTTGCCCAGGTCGTTCCAAGGTGTTACACAGGAGGTTCAGAGATCGCCATGGACGCCGTGATTTTTTTAACATGTTGAAAACAGTCGCACAAAGGTCACCGAGGAGGTTGGTTGCTTAAAGGTGGCTCAAAGGTGACAGAAGGGAGGCACAAGCATTGCCGTTGTTGCAGAATGAAGGCACAATGGCCGCCCAATGGTCGCCCAATGGTCGCCAGGTAATAGATGCGTTCTGCGGCAAAATTTTTCCCGTCAATCTGGGCGATGCTTCTGTCTCCTTTGTGCCTTCTTTGGGCGACCAACAGAGTGCATTGAACGATGACTGTGGCGACCGTCGTGCCTCCATTCGGCGACCACGGCAATCCTTGAGACACCATGGCAATGCTTCTGTCTCTTTTCTGCCTCCTTTGCGCTACCTGTAGTGCCTCCTCAGCCTGCCTATAAATAGAGGGCTTGTACCTGCAGTGTTTCATTGTGGTTGCAGACGCTTAACAACTCGACTCAAGAAAGACTCAAGACTCAATAGACACAAGACATCATGCCTGGAGTAGTTACATAGACACATGATTTTCTGGGTTTAGGCGACCGTTGAGCGCCCTGGGCCTCGTTCCACAAAGCGATCTTAGGGCTAAGTTGATTGTAACTCACTAAGTATGCGATCTTAAATTTTTGTTACGATCAGCCGCCCGTTCCACAAAGCAATCTTAACTAAGAGAGTTGTAAGTTAAGATCAAAATGCTAAGTTGCCCCGGACCAACTTAGGATTGCTAAAATCGATCTTAAATATTGTACCATAACAACAAAGATGGCGACTTTTATTATGGTGTGCAAGGAAATGCGTCGTCTGCTAAACATGACCAAGGGAGGCCACTCCAAGGGAAAATTTCGTATCTTATGGCTGAAGATTCCGATCTTTGTTAAGATCGGCTACTTAAGAACTTGTAAAGTTACAATCGCCCTAAGATTGCTTTGTGGAACGGTTGTAAACTTAAGCTAAGACAATTTTAGAATCGCCGTAGGTCTCTAAGATTGATTGTAGTTATGATCACTTTGTGGAACGGGGCCCTGGCCAGGTTTTGATCGCTCAAAGGGGGTGAGGTGAGGTGAGGTGAAATTGGGTTTAACGTCGCGTCCAAGATTATTGCACTTATATAGCGACGTGCATGCACGTGTATGTGTGTGTGTGGCTGCTTGTACTAGTCCGGACTGATGCCGATTTATAGTGCTAGCCCACTGAGATACCATGCCGCAGTTTAACATGAATACCCCACTCAGACACAGTATACTGACTCCGAGCCGACCAGTCCTTGTTTTAGCCCCTTAATGCCGAGCGCCAGACAGGGTAACAACAAGTACAATCTTTTAACGTCTTTTTGTATGACGCGGCCCGGGATCGAACCCTGGACCTTCCGCTCTCCGGGCGGACGCTCTACCACAAGACCACGGAGGCGGTCTGCTCAAATGGGGAACAAACGTCGCAGCCCTGTGTAAAGGGCCCTGATTACTCTGCTGTATTTTGTATTTAAATGGTAATGGTGTTGAGGGAATCGTCTTCCAGATGTGTGAAGCTAGAACATAATCATGGCGATTTCAAGACTCGAACGAACCTCTAAGGTTGTTATTTACTCAACAACGACTGTACTATTACAGAGAGACGTGGCAATCGGTTTGTCTGTACCAGGATCGAGCGAAGATCTGTTGGTCGTCGTAACTTAGTGGAGGTACACTTTACTCTTACAGTCAGTGAATTGGATTTAACGCCGCTTAGATCGGTAATTCGGTTATATGACGGCGGGTAAGCTTGATGTGGGAGGAAAGCCCGAAGTGATGCTCCGCTTTGGAGAAAGCCATGGTCCTGACAAGCGTTTAGAAAAAGATCAGGGATTCGAACCAACTATCCTGGGTTTATGGCGCCTTCTGGTTGTAACGTAACTGCACAGCGAATTAGGCGCTTAGGTATGGTGACCGAGAGGGGACATCGCTTTCTCGTTTTATCACGTTCTCGATCGCGGTATAGCAATATTCCCTCTTGGCCACGATATGGGTCGCATGCGTTTCTATACGATAAAAAGTATGTACGTAAAACAACATTCATGAATTGTTAAACCTGACCGCAGTGGGGGGAGGCTGAGGTGGGTTTTAATCACAAAAGAGACCTGCGATGTTTCCAGTCACATTTCAAATTATACATATGGATGGAATGGTGAAATGTTCTCACTATCTACTTGAACATAATATAACAGTACAGACGTAGGTGCTTTTATAACAATCCACGGATTTCTGCGTAATAAATAATTTGATTGATTTATGGCCCTATTTAGGAGTTTTATTGGATCCCGCCCCCGGGCCAAGTTATCAAAACCAACGGCAAATAACACCGCTCATTAGCGCTGAGTAGAGTACTTCCTAAAAAAACCCAATAGCATCTTCCTAAAAACAACACTTAGGTGACTAGTATATCAATGTTTATCATGATTTCGGAGTAGATGTCTTCAAAGTGGAAGTCCTTACTCAAGCAATGGTAATACAACCGGTTGTCCATCATGTAGTTTCTAGTTTTTGGATGACATATTGTTCTCAGTAACCGTAATGTGGAAATAGATAGTTGATTGGTTTTATATTCAAGTTGGTATTTCCGCTATTCAAAGTGTGCAGTGAGGTCGTCTTATCAACAGTCATTTCTGAGACATAAATTCAAAGTTAAGTAAATTAAGTCTACTCTCATTTTTTTGCATTTATAATTAACTCTAACGTTAATTTCAAGATTTACAGTACATACTATTCAAAAGAAGTTAAAGAACACCCGATTCTTTCATATGACTATGGTTAGTCATAAGAGAAAGTGATAGAGCGAGAAAGCAAGAAAGCAATGTCCCCTCTGGGCGACCATACTTAAGCGACTGCGACACATGGTCTTTTACAGACAATAGTCTTAACAGGGCTGGGACGGGTAACTCAGGTGCTCGGGTGGGGTGGGTACTGAGTAGGACCCAGGTACCCACAGGACGACACGGATCCGTGGTTTGTCACGTGATGTATTGTTTCATGACAAAAATTCGCTATATAACTACATGGTTACACGACGATTTAAAGTCTCTAATGTTCGCATTTCTTTATGACTATGAACACGTTCCTTCTGACTTGACCACATCGTTTTATTCGTGTATCTGAATACATTCTGCCAGGGCTACTAGCTGTCAAACTATTCCCAATCGGACATTTTGTACCTATCTCTTGAGACCTACAGCGGGTACCCGGGTAGGATCGGGTAAAAGGGGTGTGGGTACCCGGGTAATAAATTTGGACACGTTACAGCCCTATTATTCAACAGACTATTAAGTGTTCCCTACCTTCACTCTGATGCAGATGCTTCAATCATACGTGTATTTTACCAGATGGTTTTATTTCATCGTCCAAACTCCACGTACAAGTTGCCAAAACTCAGGAATATAATCAATGTCTACAGTCGTTGCTAATACATGACAGTCAGGTTTTCGAAAACATTCCAGCCCCTTTTTTGGCTGCATTTTAAAATCACTTCTCACGAACGCCCCCTGGTGGTGCCGAACATTGTCCAGACGCGACACGACGGTTCCAGTAAAGTAAACGTCATCAATCCAAATAAAGGGGGATATGAGAGACGCTTTATACAAATTGGGAATAAGGTTTCCGGGGATGAAAACAGCGTACCCTCCACAGTACGTCCACGGGAAATAACGGTAGAATTTGAACACGTCCACATCGACAGCCCACTTCGACTTAATTCGCCAAATCTTCCCGACAGACTCAGTTGCGATGTCGCAGTAAATAAGATCCCGTGCGCGGATGTCCTGTTCAATAACCAGAAGTTGGTGTGTATTAACAAACGTATCATCGTCAATTTTGCCAACCAGTTCCACATTCCGGCAGAACAGTGACACCCACTTCAGCCCCATTGACATTTTCAGAGTCAAATTGCGGTAGTCGTCGATGAAATCCCCCTGAACTAAATCCTTGTGTTCGGCGAACTCCGAAACTATCTTCCTCGCTACAGTGGTGTTAGTTACACGTCCTATCAAGAAAACCGTCTTCACGACGCGAGGCAAGAAGAACAATCCGTTCGCGAATGTCGTCCTGAGTATCTGCCTGTGTTTAAAGTGACCTGGTGCACTGTTCACCACAAACAGCAGCGAGATGTTCGTCGTGTTAGGACAAGCATCCCTGTCATGGAGAAGGAAGTCAGTGTCATATTTCGCTGGATATATAGTGGAGACTCTCGCAGTTGTCTTTATGCCACTTGCATTGGCGTCTAATCTGGAAGAGTGTTGGCGTATCCTCGTATCTGTAAGCACGACCCATAGTCCGATATTTGTTACGACATGGAGAACAGAAAGAGCTATGAGGGATGCCATGCAACCTTTTGTCGAAATTCTCCGTACCATTGTAAAATGATGATATCTATGTAGTTCAATGCTGCAGTTCCGAGAGTAACATATGTCTGCAAGCACGTGCCTCGGTAACGATCTGTTGTCATACGCCAGCAGCTGAATACATGATTAACAGAGGCGCATCCCCGATTTTGTAAACGGTAAACGATCCATGTGTTATATTCGAAAGACCCCAAACCCCTTACCGGGGGAGTGTATGATCTGAAAATTGAATTAAAAGCAAATCCCTATATAAACCTCATAGAACCCTGCAAAGATGCAGATTGGTTAACAACCCAGCGTCAAGTATTCATATACGAATCATCAAATCAAACAGCTGGTGTTGATATTAATGGTATTGACTGAATGGTTCAATAATGAATTGTCTTGTACGTTATGGCAACGTCAATCAATTTGTCAGACAGATTATGATCACTGTGTTGTGAACATGAGTGCTCCCGAGAATCATCTGTAAGTATTTATATATCTTCAAATCAAACAGCTGGTGTTGATATTAATGGTATTGACTGAATGGTTCAATAGTGAATTGTCTGGTACGTTATGGCAATGGCAATCAATTTGTCAGACAGATTATGATCACTGTGTTGTCATCAGGGGAGTCTTTAGCATGGCTGTGTAATGAGTTGGATAAACACAGCACCTTTGATTACGACAGTGATGTATTAACTTCTTTGAGAGGCATTAAGAAGTTTGAGTACTAAGTAAGGATCAGATATATGGATGAACAACGTCTTTACTACAATTAGGAGCGACGTTTCGGTGTAGGTTCTAACAGCCTTATCAAGCGACTTCTTTAGTACAATTAGGAGCGACGTTTCAGTGTAGGTTTTAACACCCTTATCAAGCGACTTCTTTACTAAAATTAGGAGCGATGTTTCGGTGTAGGTTCTAACACCCTTATCAAGCAACTTGATATACCGCTGTCATCGCGGTCCAAGATCCCGACCCCGCATTCAAGGAAAGAGTGTTATACAGCTATTCATTGCTGATGATCAACACATAATGTATTGAGGGTAGTGAATGGAACATAATTATTTCACAGTAGCATGAGACATGAATGTAGATCTATGTAATCTCGATCGTAGACGACGATTTATAATGCATGCATACAAAAAAGAAATTCTGGTGTAAATGAAGCAAAGTACAGTGTATTATTTCATTGCAATAGTTAATGTCAACAAATTCTTCATTGGTCATTCTGAATGTCCTTATTTAAGGACTGACTGTGTATTCTTTTCGGTTCATTGAGGTATGAATCGAAAAACCGATGTGCAAACTGTATGAATCCGCGAAGTTTGCACATCGGTTTTTCGATTCATACCTCAATGAACCGAAAAAATACATAGTCAATGCTTATAATTAAATTGGACAACGAAAACATATAATAGTTTAACCAAAAACAGTTGTTTATATAAAAGCAGACAAAAATGACGAGATTGATAAACATTCCCAGTGTAGGAATACATACTGTGGCGTGACATGAATCAGGGGCATTCGTGACCAACTCGTGTTATTCCTGGACAAGCCGAATAGCGACTCGTGCCCCTCTCGTGGCCATTTTTGCGACCGGGTTCTGTCTTGGCGCAAACGGGTGTACCTAAAACAATTGTCAACTCGTTGTGGAATGGTTCACACATATTTCCCCGTATATTATATTTATTTCAGATGCAATTTAAAGCATATCTGGACATGCGGAATTATACAGTATGTTTGAATACATTTAACTGTGTCTTGGGTATATTTATAGATGCAAGCAATATGTAAAATCAAATATTATTTCTGAGGGGTTCTTTGACGAAGAACTTGAAATCATACGCGCATTCTGATTGGTTTGTCGTATTTTCGCACATAACATTCATCGATAGGGGGACGAGTCTTCTTGCAGGTTACGGAAAGGGGCGAGTAGTGTCGATTTAATTTAAGCACCTAACTTGTCACGTCCACACAGTGAGTAGCCAATCAACGGAGAGTAGGATTAAAACAAAGTACATATAGGACCTGTCAATCAAGGAAAGAGGCGAGAAGAACTGCAACAGTCAGACTGTAACGAGTCGGAACAAATATGTCCGGGAGAAGGCGGCTGTTTCAAATGACATAGTCAGTTACCGCCAGATTCGAACATTAGTTCTCTGAGAACGGGAAGACCCAGTTGGAAAAATGCTAGTTAGAAATGAAACCCGAAGAGATGAAAGTTGTGGCACCGAGGCGAGCGGGACAAAAACAGGCGAGCCAGTCTGCACATATGCTGTTTCATTACTTCTCGGCCTTCGGTCTCAAGGTTTGTATGGACAAGGAATATGCATTAATTTCGCTAAATGCCCACTGCATGGCGATACACGTGAGCAGAAAGGGAATTCCCTCGGCTGAAATATTGGGATTCCCCGACATTCCGAAGTAATAAAAGTAGTGCGTGGCTTAATTTTTTACATTCATTGGGAAATGAATGCAATAACACGTGACCAATTCAGCTAATCAGAATACAGGAATTTCAATGAACACAACGAAAATTTAATTAAAAAAACGTGTGAGGAAACACAACCAAAATGGTTCAGTTCATCCATGCATCCTCTTGTTACAGATCAGAATGGTTACAGAACAAAATGGTTACAGAACAGAACACCATGACCATGAAGACAGCAATAACACATAGCACTTTTTCATGTACAAGTTTATTTGCACATTATTATTCAAGGCATAAAAAATCATGAGAATGAATGTTGTAAATGTACAAGGGTATGTTATTACAGTGTGGATGATGAACAAAGACTAAACCTGCGTGGGTTATCATCACTGAACTTCTTTCGGCAGAATCCCAGCCACTAAACGGCAGGGGACACCAAGAACCCATGTACCCATGAGTGGAACTGAACCTGGGTCTTCAGCTGGGCATGTCAGTGGTGTAGTGAGTGAGTATGGTTTTACGCCGCTTTTAGCAATATTCCAGCAATATCACGGCAGGGGACACCAGAAATGGGCTTCACACATTGTACCATGTCGGGAATCGAACCCGGGTCTTCGGCGTGACGAGTGAACGCTTTAACCACTGGGCTACCCGACCGCCCGTCAGTGGTGTAACCAACATTTACTGGTCTGTTGAAGGTACCCATTCAGGGATGGGCAATAACTCAAAAAAGCAAACAAGCCCACAGGGCTAAGGGGATTTTTTACCTGCAAAAGGTTACTGGTTCTTAAAGATCGTGTGGACTCGGAAATTTACATAATAAATTACGATGCATGTCTCTGGTCTACATTCCAATACAACCATTGTTGATCGGTATTTGCGTATATTAATCATTATGATAAACACTCGAAACGTTGTGCCTAATGTCAAGGGCAGCCATTTGACAGGGAATAGATAATCAACACCATGGGTAAAAAAACGGACATCTACGGGCGAGCAGAGTCATAATTTTATTAGCCCAAAGTAATTTCTAATAGCCTTGTCTAAACACAAGTGTTAGTTTCCACCCCTGCCTGTGGTGATTCCGGGTAAGAGTGAGTGGGTGAGTTGGGTTTAACGCCGCTTTTAACAGTATTCCAGTTATATCACGGCGTGTCAGCTTAATTTCGGAGGAAAGCCCGAAGTGATGCAGGTCTCAGACGTTTACCACTTCAGTGAAACCCACAAGCACGGGTATGGTGCTGACAAACCTAGAAACATAATCGGGGCGAACTGGGATTCGAACCCACAATCATAGGTTTCTGGCGTGTTCAAGGGACGCAACTCTGCACAGCGAATCAAGGCGCCTTAGACGACTGGGCCACCCGTGCCCCCTCCGGGTAAGAAGATAGGTCCCCAGCAACCTGTGCTTGTCATAAGAGGTGATGGATCAGGCGGTCAGTCGATGACGGGTCGACTGCATGTTTTACAAAAATAAACTGTTCCAGGAAAATACTGGGAACATAATCTGTCTGAAACATAATTCAAAAGCCCCGACTAGAATATCAAATGACCGGCCCCTTGGAGACAAGAAAACTCTGTCACAAAACAATTCCTATTGATACTGATTGCACCAGTAGACCCATCCCTCCACCCTGATTCCTATGGTAGAGGGACCTCTTATGATTGATAGAGTTTGTAGGAGAGACTGAGTTCACATCACACAATGATCCTCGTCCACATGAATGCTGATAATGTGATGTCCCGGCACCATCGCCAATCCCAGAATCCTTGGCTCCTCTCGGCTATCATCATCATCTGAAACAAAGTTAGTGAGTGAGTGAGTATGGTTTTACGCCGCTTTTAGCAATATTCCAGCAATATCACAGGGGGGACACCAGAAATGGGCTTCACACATTGTACCCATGTCGGGAATGGAACCCGGGCCTTCAGCGTGACGAGCGAACGCTTTAACCACCAGGCTACCCGACCGCCCCTCTGAAACAAAGAGGGACAATCATTTCAATTATTTTTCTGAAAACATCTTTTGAACTGATTTGTAGGAATTGTAATACACAGGATCATTCGTCAAAGCCCTATAACCCGCAAGAGTGAGTGAGTGAGTGAGTATGGTTTTACGCCGCTTTTAGCAGTATTCCAGCAATATCACGGCAGGGGTCACCAGAAATGGGCTTCACACATTGTACCCATGTCGGGAATCGAACCCGGGTCTTTGGCGTGACGAGCGAACGCTTTAACCACTAGGCTACCCAACCGCCCCTTAACCCGCAAGAAGACTCGTACCCGTCGATGAATGTTATGTGCGAAAATACGACAAACCAATCAGAATGCGGGTGTGACTTCAAAGAATCCCACAGGAATCATTTTTGACTTTACATAGGTCTTGCATTTAAAACTTTTAAACACCGTTAAATATGTATGTATAAAACTGTAAGTCCCGATGTGTTTTCAATAGCATCTGGGATATATATGACATGGGGGATATATACGTAAATCATTGCGCAATGAGTTGACAATTCTTTTAGCTATTTCCGTTTGGGCTTAGACGGAACCTAGTCGCAAAAATAGCCACGAAAGGGGCACGAGTCTCTATTCGGCTTGTTCCGGTATAACACGAGTTGTTCACTACTGACAGCGGTAAACTGCTACTTTGTGTGCTCTCATAAACCTAAAATACTGGTTTCCTTTGTTTATTGAAGATTTACTACATTCTTTTGATGAACTCATGATACAAATAATTCAACTACAAGATATGAGTGAGTGAGTTGGGTTTAACGCCGCTTTTAACAGTATTCCAGTTATATCACAGCGTGTCAGCTTCTGGCGTGCCCAAGGGCCGCAACTTTGCACATTGAATCATGGCGCCTTAGATGACTGGGCCATCCATGCCCCCCCAAACAGATATGAATGAACAGACTTTAAGATATCTCATGAGTTGCCTTGTTCCAAACCTTCTCGTAAGATTATTGTTGTATTCTGTTACCATGGTTACCTGGGGAACGAAGATACTCCTCACATGACCCAAGGATGACATTCCTGTCACGATCAGTGCACAGAAACACGCCTGAAAATATACAAAACTATACTACATGGACAGAATATGAGCTATTACGAGGAGAGGTGAAATGGGGTTTGAGGTAGCGTTGAAGATTATTGCACTTATATATAGCGACGTCGATACTCGTACTTGTCTGGACTAATGCCAATTTAATAATGCCAGCAACTAAGATACCAAGCTGTAGTTTAACATGAATTCCCCACTCAGACACAGTATACTGACTCCGAGCCGACCAGTCCTTGTTTTGGCCCCTTAATGTTGAGTACCAGAGAGGTCAGAACAAGTACCATTTTTTAACGTCTTTCGGCATGATGTGGACGGGGATCGAACCCTGGACCTACCCTATTCCCTGTGACATATATGTCATCACAGTGATTGTATATCAATGATCCCTCAACATCCTCTACATATATTTCCATAACAAATACCTGTGTATATGATTAAGCATAAATGTTAAAGGTGCTTCTTTTTACTCTGAAAGATCTCAGGAAATCCCACCCACAACCACCCCCACCCTCACCCCCACCCTTTGTTTCTGACACTGAGTATTGAGTAGGGCTGTGACTGATAACTCAGGTACTCGGGGATCGAACCCTGGACCTTCCGGAGGCAGTCTGACAGTATTATGAATGAGTGTGTTGGGTTTGAAGCCGTTAGAAGCCATTTGAGGGACATTCGCAAACCACGGAAAGTCAGCTACATTCGTGAGTGAGTGAGTGAGTAAGTTGGGTTTAATGCTGCTTTGAACAGTATTCCAGTCATACCACGGCATGTTAGCTTAATTTGGGAGGAAAGCTCAAAGTCATTCAGGTCTCACATGTGCACTGCTCCGTGTTTACTATCCACTGGATAGGAGAATGTTGTTACAGTGTGAATAGTAGCTGTGTATAAGGTGAGGTGAAATTGGGTTTAACGTCGCGTCCAAGATTATTGCACTTAGATAGCGACGTGCATGCACGTGTGTGTGTGTGTGTGGCTGCTTGTACTAGTCCGGACTGATGCCGATTTAGAGCGCTAGCTCACTGAGATACCATGCCGCAGTTTAACATGAATACCCCACTCAAACACAGTATACTGACTCCGAGCTGATAAGTCCTTGTTTTAGCCCCTTAATGCCGAGCGCCAGACAGGGTAACAACAAGTACCATCTTTTAACGTCTTTTGGTGAGCTGTGTATAACGACTTGTGGATGCTGTAGTTAACCCTACCTATTAGAGTTCTTCCATCTGTCATCTTAATTTTCATGCTTTTATTCAACCATCGCTCAAGTTTCTGCCGACCTTCTGTCTTTGTCACAGACACAATACTCTGAAAGCAAAAAACAATTTCACAATGATCAACAAATTTATCAATATAATTTTGTAATGAGAAGTTTACACAGTATTCATATAACTGTATGAATGACACAATTTGACGTTCATACATATTTCATGAGACTGTTTATTTGAAATGACGTAAACGCTGACGGACTACTTCCACATTTGTGAGGGAACTCCTGGCACGAATACATACAGAAGCGCCGGTAGAAACTAACAGGTTAGTCCACAAGTCCTTAGAATGACGACATACAGCAAAACCCTTAAAAATGGCAACTTTCTACTTGTCCTTTTGTTACGTAAGGCTAAGTATTGGGCAGTTTGGCAAGTTCTATTGGACTAGAGCCTATTTCTGTTACTGCAGAAGCGTTGTTTCTGATCATTTAGACCCTTAATTTTGAACTTTTGAACTTTGAGTAGGGTTTTACATGGCTTTAGGCAGTATCCCAGCAATATCACGGGTGGGGGGGGGGGAACACCAGAAATGGGCTTCACGCAATGTACCCAATGCCATGAATCAACTCGGGTCTTCGGTGTGAAGAGCGGAGGAGGAGGGACGCTCTATTGTCATGATTATGGAGGTTTAGCTATTTTTAGGTCGGATACATGTGCAACATGCACTTTACACCTCATCACCTACATATTTGTAGGGGGCCAGGTGGCCCAGTCGTCTAAGGCGCCGCGATTCGCTGTGCAGAGTTGCGTCCCTTGGGCACGCCAGAAACCTATGATTGTGGGTTCGAATCCCGGTTCGCCCCGATTATGTTTCTAGGTTTGTCAGCACCATACCCGTGCTCGTGGGTTTCACCGAAGTGGTAAACGTCTTAGACCTGCATCACTTCGGGCTTTCCTCCCACATTGAGCTGACACGCCGTGATATAACTGGAATAATGTTAAAAGCGGCGTTAAACCCAACTCACTCACTCACTCACATATTTGTATGTATTTTGTGTGTGTTGAGACCATTACGCTAAGCAATGGTGAAACTGCTTGGTATTATACATTTGTCAGACCATTGTAGTGGTTCTCAAACTTCACACACACCACTAATAACGCATGTATATCAGTCATAATTGGTGTACAAAAACAACCCTAGTTTAATCCTGCATATAGCTTTCCGATAAACAATGAATGAAAACAAAATGAAAACAGACTTTGACATTAAATGACAGCTAACTGACTAGATGATTCACACAACTAAACATATCTTGACTAGAATTTTAAACTAGACACTCACGCCAGCTTTATAGAAATTTTACTAGCCCAATGGAAAAGTCACTGGCGTTTGGCTAGCAGGTATTTCAAGCACTGTTTACATCACTTCCTTTTATGAATTATGCATAATCATTATGCATTCTAAAAAAGTTTCGGTGAACAGAGATCGTCCAAACAAATAGGTACTTTTATCCCCAATTTCGTATGGAGGTAGAGGTAGGCCAATGCAACTTCAAAAACATTCAAGAAACTACAGGCCTAATGAACAAGTTAACAAGTATACTTTCAAGTAGCCGTGACATTCCAAATGCTGTCTTTGATCAAGCGATGAAATATCGTCCGAAGATCTGAATATATAAACAGCAGACATTAGTCGTGGATGACAAGAATTTACGACTTACTTACTTACTTACTTTGGAGATTTAACGTGCGCTTTCCGACTGATGCGTATTTCGCACACGGGCCCGGCCAGGCCATTTAATGTGTTTCCGAAAGGGGCGAAGGTGGTCTGTGCAACCCAAGAGGGGGGTTTTAGGGGTTGCTTATATAGAATTTGGGAATTTTGAGATTTGGAATAGATGCCGATGGGATTGGGGAGGAGAACTAAGGGAGCTGGGTATGGTGGATGTTTGTTTGTTTATGTGATTTTGATTTGGTAGGTTATTGTGTTTTTAGATGTGTTTTATTAGTTCCGTTTTTATTAAGAATACGCCTAAGGCCTTGAAGTTTTCTAGTTTATTTTGTGGGTTTAGTATTGCTTCTAGAGTTAGAGCCTTGTTTAGATTGAGGGTGGTTTGTAATGCGGTTCGATGTGTTAGGTAGTGTGTGCAGTGGATGAGTGCGTGTTCTGGGGTTTCTGGTTGTTTGCAGTGTGGGCAGTTACCTGTAGTGTGTTTTTTAAAAAATTTTAGGTGGTTATTTAGGTTGGTGTGTCCTGTTTGGAGTTTAGTGATTACTCTGTCGATTTTTTTGGATGGATGGAGAATTTTTGGTTTGGTTAGTGGTTTGCTGAGCACTTTTTTGATTTGGCTATTTGAGTTTAGATATAGGTTATGCCATTTTTTTGTGATTTTTTGCTTGTTTACACTTTTAATTTCTGATTTTGAGATGGGTAAGTTTAAGCTTATTTCTGGGATTTTGAGGGATAGTTTAGCTGCTTTATCGGCGTTTTCATTACCGTATATTCCTACGTGGGCGGGTATCCACAAGAAGGTTATTTGTTTGCCTGCCTTAGTTAGGTCGTTGGAGCTTTTAAGTATTTGATTTATTAATTTAGGTCGGTTTTTGGTATTTTTGTTTTGGAGGGCTTGCAGTCCACTTAGGGAGTCGGTAAGTATTAGGATTTTTTTGTGGTTTTTGGATTCTTGATTATGGAGGGCTGAGGCCATGCCCATTAGTTCTGCCGTGAATATTGATTGGTTGTTTGGGAGTCGGAAGGATTGTGTGGTTTTAGTTGGTTGTGTGGTATGGACTCCGAAACCTGTGTGTTTGGAGGTCGGATCTGAGGATCCGTCCGTGTAAATGTGACACCAATTTGGCCAATTTTCGTGTATGTATGCTAGTGTGGTAGTTTTAGCTATGTTTGGGTCGGTTTGTTTATTTATTTGGCTAGCTAGTGTTGTGTCTATTTTGGGTATTTTAAGTTTAGGGGTGAAGATATTTGATTGTTTGCAGTTTTGTTTAAGATTTTTAATTTGGTGTTCATTTAGGTAGTTTGTTATTCTTTGGGATATTGGGGTAAGTAAGGGGTGTTTACGAGCTAGAGCTTGGTTTTTGGGGCTGATGTTTTGGTTTATTAAGTTTTGGATGAGAGGGTTTGATTGGGACGCGGCCCAGAAATTTAAGCTTAGCTGTTCCCTGCGTAGACTTAGTGGCATTTCTCCTGTTAAGGCCTGAAGTGAGGTGTAGGAGGTGCCATGTTGGGTGCGTGTAATTAGTTTGAGAGCCTGATATTGTATTGAGTCAAGTTTTTTGGATAGAGAGTTGTTTAGGGTGTTGTATATGGCGCAGCCGTAGTCTAGTTTTGATCTAATTAGTGATATGTAGAGAGAGAGGAGGGTATCTTTGGATGCTCCCCAGTTAGAGCCAGTTAGGCATCTTAGGGTGTTTAGGTCTTTACTGCATTTAGTTGTTAGGTTTTGGATGTGAGCATCCCAGGTGAGATGTTCATCGAAAATAAGTCCTAAGAATTTGGTTTGTTTTTGAAATTTGATTGTTTGATTGTTTAGCTGGAGGATTGGGGAGGCGGGTTTCATGTTTTTATGTTTGAATACTATTCCTGTTGTTTTTTCTGAGTTAAGGGAGAAGCCCCATTTGTCAGCCCATTGTTGTATTTTATTAAGAGATTTTTGGAGTAAATTTTGGACCATGTTCATGCTTTTAGTGCGGATCCAGATGGCTCCATCATCCGCGAATTTTGATGTGTTTACTTTAGGGGATAGGCCCTCGAATAGATCGTTTATCATTATATTGAAGAGGGTGGGGCTGAGGATACTGCCCTGTGGAGTACCATTTTCTAGGGGACATTGGTCCGATAGAGTTTGGTCTATACCCACGGTTATTTTACGATTGTTTAGGAAGTCCTGGATGTAGTTTATTATCTGACCTTTGAGTCCTATTTTTTTTAAGTTTTTGTATTAGCCCATCGTGCCATACCATGTCGAAGGCTTTAGAGAAGTCTAAGAAGATGCCTGTGGTATATTGTTTATTTAGTTGTCCTGTCTTAATATCTTGTTCTAGTCGGGCGAGGTTATCTAGGGTTGAGCGGCCAGGAGTGAAACCGCTTTGATCTGGGTTTATGATGTTATTTTGGGTTAAGTAATGTTGTAATCTATTTTTAGCCATTGATTCCATTACTTTACATAAGTTTGAAGTTAGGGATATTGGTCTATATGAGTTAGCTTGATTAGCTGGTTTATTAGGTTTAGGGATTGGTATGACTAGGGCCTGTTTCCAGGGAGTAGGAACCTGTCCGTTTAGGTAGATGAGATTGTATAGTTTGAGTAGTGCCTGGAGTAGTTTTAGGGGGAGTTTTTTAATTATTTGGTAAGAAGTTAGGTCTAATCCTGGGGCTGTGCCCTTTTTCCTGTTTTGGATTACGTAGAGGAGCTCCTCCATTGTGTAGGGTTGATTTATTTCTAGATTGTTATTGTTTGGTTCTTTTGTGGGTTTGTTTTCTGTTTTAAGTTTATCTTGGAATTTTTTACTGAAGTTGGTGTTACTGCTAACGGCCGAAAAGTGGTTGGCGAGATTATTTGCTTTTTGGGCGGCGTTGGTTGAGTTGTCAATGTTAGGGTTTTTTTTATGTCGTTTTAAGCCTCTAATGGCGTGGATTTTGCGCCAGACCATTCTGGCATCTGTACGGTTATTTATACCTTCGCAGAATTTTTTCCAGTCTCTACTTTTGGCTATTTGGACTAGTTTTTGAACCTGGTGGTTTAGTTCGTGGGCTATGTTTAAATATTTGTAGTCGCGTTTTGCTTTATTGAAGGCTGATTTACGTTTTCGTCTAGTCTGTTCTATTTCCTCATTCCACCATGGTACCGTCGGTTTGCCTGTCTTAGATGTTTTGAAGGGGATGGAGGTTTTGGCTGCGTTTATTATATAGTCTGTTAGGTTTTTACAATAGGTTTCTGGATCATTATTTTCTATTTCATTTAAGTTAGCTTCGTTGCAGATATCTTGGAATTGGTCCCAGTTAGCTTTATTGTAATGGAATTTTGGTTCTTGGTTTTCTGTTTGGATTGGTACGTTTGTATTTCCTATGGTTATGTTTATGGGGAAGTGGTCACTACCTAGCGGGACGTCGTGCACTTCCCATTGAGTACTTTGGGCTAGATCTGCGGTGCATATGGTTAGGTCGATAGCCGACATTTTTTGGTTTATCTTATCGTACCTCGTGGGTTGGTTGCTATTAAGGAGTACTAGGTCGTTTGTTTCTATCCATTCGGAGATTAATTTGCCATGATTATCTATTTTATCATCTATGCTCCATGTAGGATGGTGAGCGTTAAAGTCTCCTAGGAATATAGTAGATTTATCGCTTATTTGGAGTAGTTTGTTTAGATCCTCAGGTTGGACTTTTTGTTCCGCCCAGTGGTAAATATTTATGATGTTTATGTTTCGGTTATTTAATGTGATTTTAATGCCGTTGGCTTCTAGGTTTGGCGTGTCTATTTTTATTTCTTCGTAATTTATATCTTCCCTGATAAATATGATTAGTCCTCCTGCGGCTCTTCTTGTTTTCGGTTTAGCTCTGTCAGTTCTAACTGAGTTGTAGTTAGGCAGTGTGAATTTGGATTTTTTTGAGAATTTGGTTTCCTGTATACAAGCAATGTGAGGGCCTTTATTTAGTTTAAATTTAGTTTTTAGTTCATGGCCGTGGGAGGTGAGTCCGTTGGCGTTCCACTGAAAAATATTTAGTCCTTCGAATATTGGGTTCGGGTGATTGGTGATTTATTTTTTATTTTTTATTTTATTCGGTGAGTTCTTTTAGATGGAGGTTAAAGAGGAAGAAGGGAAGATCGGTTAATTTTAGATTGAAAGCTACTTTGTAGAAGGATTTCATGCTAGCTTTTGGTGAGTTTTGACTATACATGTATGCTAGGAGTAAGGTGAGGTTATTTAGGTTTTGGGTGTTGGCTGGTTGGGGAGTTTGGTTTGTTTTAGTTGGAGTAGTGTCTATTGTTTCCTCAGTAGTGGAGAAATCTTCGTCATCGGTTAGATTAGGTTTAGCTGATTGAGTTTCCATGGGGGAGGCATGTGATGTGGAGGATTGTGAAGGTGTTTGTGGGATGGGTGTAGCTGATGATTTCTTAGTGTTTGTGTTTTGTTGTTGTGCTTGCTTGTGGGAGAGCGTTGTTACCATATGGGCTGTAGGGTGCTTGGATGAGGGTCGTGTTGTGGTGGTCATTTTGAGGTTTGTTTTGCATGCGGGGGTTGATGTTTTGGCTATGTGAGATGTGGGAGGGTTCGTGGTTGGTTGAGTGGCTGCTTGTATGTGTGAGGTGGGTGCGGTTTCTCGGTAGGGGCCCCAGACAGAGCTGTCGGTTATGGGTGTGGTGTTTGTTTGTGGGATGGTGTTTGGGTGTGGTGTAGGGAGGAGTGGTTTAGATGCAGGTGTAGCAAATTTTCGTGTTTGGATTTTAGCCGTGTCTATGTTTATGTGTTTGTTGGCCTGCTGGGTGAGTGTGTGTCTGTATGGGCATTGGTTTGAGAGTGAAGTGTGTTGGGTGGATTTGCAGTGGATGCACCAGGGTGTGCATGTGCCTGGGCAGTCTGTTTGTGCGCATTTTTTACATTTAGTTTTACGGTATGTGCATTGGGAGGCAGTGTGGTTGTATTTGAGGCACTTTGTACATTGCTTAACCTGCTTTATATAGGGTTTGACTTCTAAGTTGGTGTGGGCTCCGAAGGATATGTGTTTGGGGGCTTCAGGGAATTTAGCGGTCTTTTTGAAGTTGATTATGACAATGGAGGTTGGGACCGTTTTTCCGTTTCTAGTTGAGGTTATTCTACGCGTATTTACGATATCTGGATAACAATATTATAGGGATACACCTGACTCGCCTAAAAATATTTTGACCCAACTCGCCTAAAAAGATTTTGAGCGAACTACGGTCGGTTTTTGTATTTTAGAATAAGTATGTAACAATCAGAAATACATAGTAATGCATTTTATTGTTTTTATATTGCTTTGGGGACATTTCTAGATTGAGTGAACGATGTCATGGCGTTGTTTTGATACAATCGGTGTCACTCTCGGTGACATCACATCACTGATTGATTAGTTTGGGCGATAAAAATAAATACCAATCTATTAACGTTGTTGTTTCAAGTTGAGTGGATTACCTGAGAAAACTCAACAGAGTTCATCACGGGATTACTGTACTATGATAACAAAAAGTTGTCACTTTATCATTATATCTGCGTTGACCAATCAAAGGCGAGAATTCTTCGAAACTCCGGGGAAAAATACAAATGCCAGTTTAGTGAACATGTGGTGGTGCAACTGCAACGTACGTTGTGTTATCTTCAGGATATGAATTATGGATTTATTATTTGATGGATATAACGAACCCATGAGGTATGTAAAGACTTAAGTGATCTTTTAATGTATGTTTCTAGGATGTCAATATGACAGAAGACAAATTCTATGGATGATGCGTTGTTTTTTAAAAATTATTTGAATATGAATATAGGGTACTAGTAATTGTGATCATTAGGCCTAACCTAAGTTATATTTGCCAAACGCATACCCAAATATTATATATATATTTTTAGGCGAGTCGGGTGAGATTTTTTTAGGCGAGTCGGATTTTAGTCGAGTCGGGTGCAACTCATATTATAGTCCGAGTATAAGCAAACATCAGATCTCTGCACCAGTCCACCCTTAAACGATAATCAGCTGCTAGTCGGTGTGTATTCAGCAGGTACGTACCTCTGGTTTTTATTTTCAAAATTTCCGACTTCACGTTGTGCTACTAACAACTTTCCATAAGGACAGCCATCTTGTGGACATTCGCATGGTCCCGGACTGTAGTTTATCGCGGAAATATACCGTTCGGCGGCGTGATCGAAATCAGGACAAATAATATCTCACAAACAAGTTTGAAGATTACACATGATGAATGCGGGACAAGTACATTCTTTTTACATAAAATAACAGGAATTATAAGCGTTGGGTCATGGCGTTTTACGAAATGCTTACAGAATTGTTTATACTGACAAATATGCAGGCAAAACACTCACCGTATCATCACCAGCCATTTTGGCGAGTTCAACATCGAACTTATAACTGAAACGAAACAAAACACGGAAATTGATTTTAATACCGTTTTGTTTGGAATATTTATTTTATATTTGTTTTGTTACATATTGAACATACAACTACCGGTGTCCATTGTCGTTTTAATATATATACTGTGATTGTAATTAAGAAGAAATAAAGAGAATCAAATGGTATTCTATTTTCGTTTCAGGAATCGGTCACCAGGAATCCGAAGCTCCTTCCCAGCGCGTGACACCTTCGTTACACTCTATATAGAGAGCTGCGCGAAGGGGATATCGCTGAGAGGAGCTTGCAGGAATCCATTACACATTTCGTCAACTTCCGCTTCCGACAGCTTTGTTGATATTGGCAACAGGATTCTTATCGTTTTGTCCGAGTTTGAAAGCAATGAATTTGTAGATCATTTATCAAACAAACACCATGCCGAGACCCAAGTATTTCACCTCCAATGAAGTGTCTATTCACAACACGATAGATGATCTCTGGATCTCATTTTTGGGAAAAGTGTATAATTTGACTCCACTATGTGAGGAATACAAAGGTATGAATTAAAAATGAAATATTTTTGTTGGCTTTTGAGTGAATATTGCTCTTATCTTTTACGAAATATGTTTTGACAGTTATGTTTTATCGATAGATGTTGTTTTTGACTTGAAGGCGTACTTTGAGCAGGTCTATTTTGATATGTATTTCAACATTGTTCAATGAAAAATTGCAGCATCTGAAACATGCTCGCAAAACCTTCCCCAAACACTGCCTCAAAATTTAAAAACAATATCTTAACTTCTGGCTAATAGTCTTAATATTTTTAATATGATTAACATGATTAATCCTCAAAATTGAATATCAAAACAATTCATAAACATAGAAACTTGGGCATCAACATAGAATTACAGAATAACTTGAAAATAGAGCCGAAATAGAAGTATTTATACAACACAGAAGTACAATAAATACATACTTTTTTCATTAAAAACGACAGTTACTTATGACAGCATTTGTTTCAAGTTGTTGTTTGGGGGGAAGCGGAACAGCTCAAAATGGCAACGAAAATACTTAGAACCCGTTACTAAGTAAAGAGCTTGTGCACATTCCTTACAAATATGGTTGAAGATATCCTGTACTCTGTATTATAGTCAATCTCAAAAATACATTTATGTAGGGTTAGGTTTCCGTTGCCCTAAGCCAGGCAAAATTTTAAGCAGTGTAGGGCCTATGCGGGCAGAAATCTTTTAAACATGCTAAAGTATGGTGAATATATTATCATTATTAATTGTAGATCAATGTAAATTGTAAATCACAGGCAAGTGTTTTGAGATTGTTTAACTTTATCTATGTCACCTCATTCATATTTGCTCCTGAGAGGCTGTGAATTTTTTTTTTTCATTTTCACAATGTGATTTCAGAATATAGCGTAGGAAACCAATAACAACACAAGGGAAATCATTTTTGCCATTTACTTTAATGTAGTATGTACCTATGATCTACACTAATACATGTTATGTGCATCTATCCTAATATCATCTGGACTGCCTCCATGGTCTAGTGGCAGAGCGTCCGCCCAGAGAGCGGAAGGTCTGGGGTTCGATCCTCGGCTGCATCATACCAAAAGACGTTAAAAAATGGTACTTGTTGTTACCCTGTCTGGCGCTCGGCATTAATGGGCTAAAACAAGGACTGGTTGGCTCGGAGTCAGTATACTGTGTCTGAGTGGGGTATTCATGTTAAACTGCGGCATGGTATCTCAGTGAGCTAGCACTATATATCGGCATCAGTCCTGACTAGTACAAGCAGCCACACACAAACACACACACGTACTTGCACGTCGCTATATAAGTGCAATAATCTTGGACGCGACGTTAAACCCAATTTCACCTCACCTCACCTAATATCATCTGCCAAGCTCTCGATGTATATTAAAATTAATATATCATGTGGCTTAACATATTGTATGACTATGCCATAACATCAAATCTATTTGAACTTAAATATCTGTTACTAATAACTCATGTCATGACAATTGAAGATCATTAATATTTTGCACAGAATGATAATATATTTCAAAAAGTAATATTTTATTTCGCTCCTTGACAACAGGCTACACAGACAAATGATTGAATGCAAATGATAGGTCTTAAAATTATAAATTTATATTGACATGATTTAAGGAATTTGAAATTGAAAAAAGTATCAACAATGCATGATGAGCTGATGATGCTTGACAGTTGGGTTTCAGATCAGTTCATTTTAAAACATACTGACTGATTGTTATCCTGGATGTCCTGAAGATGATTTACAAAATTGCTAATGGTATAAAAGAATGTCCTGTATCTGGACTTTATCTGCTCATTATAACCTAACATGCAATGTATTATGCTTGGTAGTCTGATTGGCTGGTTGGATTGGTTTGTTTTGTATTTTGTTTAACGCCCCACTCAGCAATATTCCAGCAATATGACGGCAGTCTGTAAATAATTGAGTCTGGACCAGACAATCCACTGATTAATATCATGAGCATTGATCCACGCAATTGGGATCGATGACATGCATCAACCAAGTCAGCGAGCCTGACCACCCGATCCCGTTAGTCGCCTTTTACGACAAACATAGTCGCCTTTTACTGCAGGCATGGGTTGCTGAAGACCTATTGTACCCCAGATCTTCATGGACGGGCTGGTTGGATTTTATGTGACATGTACCGACACTGCTGCTTGTGTGACACACCATCAGGATCAGGAGTATTAACAAACATGGCCCCCGTGGATCTGGAATGCTGCAAGCATGCAACCTTTTCACTGTTTTCAGTGTCAGTTCTGTCTCTGGCTTTTTCGGAGCACGGATGGCCCAGTCGTCTCAGGTACCCCGATTCACTGTGCAGAGTTGTGTCCCTTGGGCATGCCAGAAACCTATGATTGTGGGTTCAAATCCCCGTTCGCCCCGATTATGTTTCTAGGTTTGTCAGTACAGTACCCGTGCTCATGGGTTTCATCGAAATGGTAAACGTCAAAGACCTGCATCACTTCGGGCTTTCCTCAAACATTAAGCTGACACACCGTGATATAACTGGAATAATGTTAAAAGCGGCATTAAAGCCAACTCACTCACTCATATCAATACCAGACTTGATTATTTGCAGACCGCCATCATTTAGCTGGAATATTGCTGAGTGCGGCGTTAAACAACAAACAAACAAAACATTAAGCTGACACGCTGTGATATAACTGGAATAATGTTAAAAGCGGTGTTAAACCCAACTCCCTCACTCACTCTGTCTTTTGCCACTAGTCTGAAGCCTGAGACTAGTAAAATTATGTGAAGTCCAGTGATCTCAGCTAAAAATTAGTCCAGAAACCACTGAAAACTAATCTGGGCTGGCAGAATCAAAGGTTTTTGGCACAGAATGTGATAATTCCTCCTCAAAGTACAAATTCACTCAGTGGAGATTCTCCCTAATTCCCTGTTGTCAACCTGAGGCTGCAGTAGAATATAATAAAAGGGAGATAAGAGATAATATTTGACATCAAATTAATTTTTCATATTTCATACTGATTCATTATCGATTTATTTCAGGTGATGTTCTTCTAAAGCCAATTATTCAGTCAGCAGGAAAAGATATTTCACACTGGTTCAATCCAAAACTCAAAGATGTAAGTTGATTTTAATCATATCAGTATTTAAAGTAGGAGTCACACGATACAGCAAGATGATGTTGAGCAAGTGTATTGTCTTGTACCGATACGGAAAATACGTAGTGTGTCGTATTGTTGCATGAAGTCTCACGATGACGCGGTGCACCAATGTATCGTTTCATTCCTAAATGAAAAGATTGTGTTAGCATTGTGATGAACATGATTAAAAGACTACATTTGTTATTGTCAGGGCAAAACTGTTTCTCACTAGTCAAGTCATCATTGTAAACCATGATGGATTTCACACTGACAGAGCCTCACCCCAGTATGCCAGTGTAGGGTAACTCTTAGTCCTTGATCTAGTCTGTCATACAGACCCTGAAACAAATATATCCAATACAGCTCATGCAAGTCTATAATGTTTGGCAAGTCTAGATTACTGCAGCATCAGGAATATCTGAAAATGAAGAAAGTCTCTGGGCTCCTTTTTATTATATTTTATAACTATAAGTTAACAACTGTTTTTTTCTGTTGCGTTCAAGATTATTGAACTTATATAGCGACGTGCATGCACGTTTGTGTGTGGCTGCTTGTACTAGTCCGGACTAATGCCGATTTATAGTGCTAGCTCACTGAGATACCATGCGCAGTTTAACATGAATACCCCACTAAGACCCAGTATACTGACTCCGAGCCGACCAGTCCTTGTTTAAGCCGCTTAATGCCGAGCACCAGGCAGGGTAACAACAAGTACCATCTTTTAACGTCTTTTGGGGATCTGACCCTGGACCTTCCCTATTCCCTGTGACATATATGTCATCACAGTGATTGTATATCAATGATCCCTCAACATCCTCTACATATATTTCCATAACAAATACCTTTGTATATGATTGAGCATAAATGTTAAGGGTGCTTCTTTTTACTCTGATAGATCTAGGTGAACTTAGATGAAATACTGTTGCAGGAAATCCCCCCCACAACCACCCTCACCCTTCGTTTCTGACACTGAGTATTGAGTAGGCCTGGGACGGGTAACTCAGGTACTCGGGTCGGGTGGGTACTGAGTAGTACCCGGGTACCCACATGACTACCCGGACCCGTGGTTAGTCACGTGATATATATATTGTTTAATGGCAAAAATTATCTAGAACTCCATGGTTACACTATAAGTGACAAATGTTCACATTTCTTTCCGACTATGCACACATTCCTTCTGACTTTATATGTTTGCATAAAGATAAAATTTCAGTCAACTTCAGTTATGCATGACCTGATCATTTTATACCTGTATCTAAATACATTTTGTCAGGAGTACGGTCAAACGTTTCCCAAGCGGACATTTTGTACCCATCTCTTGAGACCCACAGCGGGTACCCGGGTAGAGTCAGGTAACGGGAGGTGGGTACCTAGGTGGTAAATTTGGACTCGTCCTAGCCCTAGTATTTAGTATATCAGATTCCCATACATGTATTTTTATGTATGTCGACATACAAGTGACAAACAGGCAGTCTGTGTATGTACATGTCACTGTCTGCAGATCCGCACCCACGTCGACCCTCTGACAGGCTGTGTGATTCCCTACTGCCCTAACGGCAGGTTCGTACACATCCCCCCGCCCTACCCTCACTCGGACTGGGCCAACGACTTCGGCCGACCGTGGTGGAAGGATGATTCCTATTTGGTGGGAATACTCTCCAAGAAGACGAGATTTGTGAAAATCATCAACACTCTCACGTCACAAGAACAAGTTATTGAAGTAAGCGAAGAGTATCGTCTATCTATGTTTTGATTTACATATTCGATGCCATGTTCACAGGGAATGATCAAACATTGCAAATGCACTTCACACATTCTGCCAATCGAAACTGCATCTCACACATTCTGCCAATCGAAACTACATCTCACACATTCTGCCAATCGAAACTGCATCTCACACATTCTGCCAATCGAAACTGCATCTCTCACATTCTGACAATTCAAACTGCATCTCACACATTCTGACAATCCAAACTGCATCTCACACATTCTGACTATTCAAACTGCATCTCACACATTCTGACAATCCAAACTACATCTCACACATTCTGACAATCCAAACTGCAAGTCACACATTCTGACAATCCAAACTGCAAGTCACACATTCTGACAATCCAAACTGCAAGTGACACATTCTGACAATCCAAACTGTAAGTCACACATTCTGACAATCCAAACTGCAAGTCACACATTCTGACAATCCAAACTACATCTCACACATTCTGACAATCCAAACTGCAAGTCACACATTCTGACAATCCAAACTGCAAGTCACACATTCTGACAAACGAAACTACATCTCACACATTCTGACAATCCAGACTGCATGTCACACATTCTGACAAACGAAACTACATCTCACACATTCTGACAAACGAAACTACATCTCACACATTCTGACAATTCAGACTGCATCTCACACATTCTGACAATTCAGACTGCATTTCACACATTCTGACAAACGAAACTACATCTCACACATTCTGACAAACGAAACTACATCTCACACATTCTGACAATCCAAACTACATCTCACACATTCTGACAATCCAAACTGCAAGTCACACATTCTGACAATTCAGACTGCATCTCACACATTCTGACAATCCAAACTACATCTCACACATTCTGACAATTCAAACTGCAAGTCACACATTCTGACAATCCAAACTACATCACACATTCTGACAATCCAAACTACATCTCACACATTCTGACAATTCAGACTGCATCTCACACATTCTGACAATTCAGACTGCATTTCACACATTCTGACAAACGAAACTACATCTCACACATTCTGACAATCCAGACTGCATTTCACACATTCTGACATACGAAACTACATCTCACACATTCTGACAAACGAAACTACATCTCACACATTCTGACAATCCAAACTACATCTCACACATTCTGACAATCCAAACTGTAAGTCACACATTCTGACAAACGAAACTACATCTCACACATTCTGACAAACGAAACTACATCTCACACATTCTGACAATTCAGACTACATCTCACACATTCTGACAAACGAAACTACATCTCACACATTCTGACAATCCAGACTGCATGTCACACATTCTGACAAACGAAACTACATCTCACACATTCTGACAATCGAAACTGCAAGTCACACATTCTGACAAATGAAACTACATCTCACACATTCTGACAAACGAAACTACATCTCACACATTTTGACAATCCAAACTGCATCTCACACATTCTGACAATCCAAACTGCATCTCACACATTCTGACAATTCAAACTCCATCTCACACATTCTGACAATTCAAACTCCATCTCACACATTCTGACTATCCAAACTACATCTCACACATTCTGACAAACGAAACTACATCTCACACATTCTGACAAACAAAACTGCATCTCACACATTCTGACAATCCAAACTGGATCTCAAACGATGAAACTTTCAGAGAGGAATTATAGTTGATCATCCATTGATGTATTTCCTTCTTTAAAACAGGTATGTTCTGAAGAGATTATGACGGAGATCCTGGATCGCTACATGAAGTACAACGGCCATGCTGGCAGCTACACATGGAAGTACGACGGCAGAAACCTGGACATGATGAAGACCCTGGAACAAAACAGCATCCCCGACGAGGATGAAGAGTTCTACAAGCTGAGCATGAACGATGACACATTTCTTCAGGCAATCCATCTGTACTTCAATGATGACCTGACGGAGGCCTAGACAGAGAATCTTTGTACATCTGTTGTTCAACATCCTCGTTGATGAGAGCTGAGATTTCACATCTTAGTGTTCCAGAACCTCATGGATACATTGTGGATGTAGAGCCAAGTTAGGGTCTACTCAACATCTTCTCATCAAAACATTGACATATATATCACAGAATACCACTCCTTTCTGTGAGGAAATCCAAAATTTTAAACATTCCTTTTGTGGAATTGCAGCTTTTAAATCTTTTTGTGTATTAATCTTAATCAATGATTTCATTGTATGTTACTTTATTTGTTATTAATGATTTTATTGTTGAATACAACTATTAAGTAGATTGATCCTGGAGATGAGGTTGGTTTGTGTACATACTACTTGAACTTTTGCTGAAAATATCTTAAATTGAAAACTGAAGTTCATCATTGGAATAAAAACTTCAATAATATATCAGATATATATGTTGATCTTTGTTGCTGAGCAGGACATGAGCTGGAGTCATCAGTGTGAAGAAACTGATGAATTCTATGGTTAATTCAAACATGGAACCTACATCCTGCTATAAAGTTTTGTCTGCTGTTACACCTGCAAAATCAGAGGTTATATTGTTGTCTCGGCCGTTGTGCTTTTGCTTCTGTTACACCTGGTTGACTGTTTCCCCTAGTCCATAACTCAGAGAGTAGTACAAATGTGGAGGGTTTGGTGTTTTTTTTAACCAGTTCTAGTTATTGTATATCAACAGCCAATCCGAAGCAAGAAGTGGACTAGTTGGAGTATGAACAAGGGTGTCTATCTTGTACACACTCACATCTTTATAGATGGATTGACTGGTCCAGACTGAATTATTTACAGACTGCTGTCATACAGTTGGAATATTGCTGAGTGCGGCGTTCAACATTAAACAAACAAACAAAACCTTTTTGCTGTGTACTAACCTACCTGACTCCAGCTGAATATGTGTCCTATATCCCAGGTGCCCCTCCATGATAAGCAGGGGATGTTTCCCCAAGCAACACAGGTACACTTGCATTGTACTGTCCCATCAATGTCTTGACGTCACTCCGGATAACTGGTAGCCACCATTGCAAAGACGGCCATCTGGAACGTCACTTCGGATAAGTAGTAGCTGTACCATTGCAAAGACGGCCATCTGGAACGCCACTTCTGATAAGTAGTAGCTGTACCATTGCAAAGATGGCCATCTGGAACGTCACTTCGGATAAGTAGTAGCTGTACCATTGCAAAGACGGCCATCTGGAACGTCACTTCGGATAAGTAGTAGCTGTACCATTGCAAAGACGGCCATTTGGAACGTCACTTCGGATAAGCAGTAGCTGTACCATTGCAAAGACGGTCATCTGGAACGTCACTTCGGATAAGTAGTAGCTGTACCATTGCAAAGACGGCCATCTGGAATGTCACTTCCGATAAGTAGTAGGTGTACCATTGCCAAGACGGCCATCTGGAACGTCACTTCGGATAAGTAGTAGGTGTACCATTGCAAAGACGGCCATCTGGAACGTCACTTCAGATAAGTAGTAGCTGTACCATTGCAAAGACGGACATTTGGAACGTCACTTCGGATAAGTAGTAGCTGTACCATTGCAAAGGCGGCCATCTGGAACATCACTTCGGATAAGTAGTAGCTGTACCATTGCAAAGACGGCCATCTGGAACGTCACTTCAGATAAGTAGTAGCTGTACCATTGCAAAGACGGACATTTGGAACGTCACTTCGGATAAGTAGTAGCTGTACCATTGCAAAGACGGCCATCTGGAACGTCACTTCGGATAAGTAGTAGCTGTACCATTGCAAAGACGGCCATCTGGAACGTCACTTCAGATAAGTAGTAGCTGTACCATTGCAAAGACGGACATTTGGAACGTCACTTCGGATAAGTAGTAGCTGTACCATTGCAAAGACGGCCATCTGGAACGTCACTTCGGATAAGAAGTAGCTGTACCATTGCAAAGACGGCCATCTGGAACATCACTTCGGATAAGTAGTAGCTGCACCATTGCAAAGACGGCCATTTGGAACGTCGCTTCGGATAAGTAGTAGCTGTACCATTGCAAAGACGGACATTTGGAACGTCACTTCGGATAAGTAGTAGCTGTACCATTGCAAAGACGGCCATCTGGAACGTCACTTCGGATAAGTAGTAGCTGTACCATTGCAAAGACGGCCATTTGAAACGTCACTTCCGATAAGTAGTAGCTGTACCATTGCAAAGACGGCCATCTGGAACGTAACTTCAGATAAGTAGTAGCTGTACCATTGCAAAGACGGCCATTTGGAACGTCACTTCAGATAAGTAGTAGCTGTACCATTGCAAAGACGGCCATCTGGAACGTCACTTCGGATAAGTAGTAGCTGTACCATTGCAAAGACGGCCATTTGGAACGTCACTTCGGATAAGCAGTAGCTGTACCATTGCAAAGACGGTCATCTGGAACGTCACTCCGGATAAGTAGTAGCTGTACCATTGCAAAGACGGCCATCTGGAACGTCACTTCGGATAAGTAGTAGCTGTACCATTGCAAAGACGGCCATCTGGAACGTCACTTCGGATAAGTAGTAGCTGTACCATTGCAAAGACGGCCATCTGGAACGTCACTTCAGATAAGTAGTAGCTGTACCACTGCAAAGACTGCCATCTGGAACGTCTCTCCGAATAAGTAGTAGCTGTACTATTGCAAAGCGGCTTGCAACATATCTGAACAAAAGATCAACGTAGCTATAGCATTTCAAGATGCCATACCATTGGTCCTCACAAAATATCAACGTAGCTGTGACATAGTAAGAAGACTTGCCTTTGTTATATACAAAATTAATTACAAACGTAACTGGGGTACAGTAAGATGACCTAACATTGGTTATAAAGATATTGATCAACTGAGCTGTGATATTGTAACTTGACTTACCATTGGTTATGGTACAGAATATTAGCGTAGCTGTAAGCTTTAAGATCACATAACCATACACTATTATACATTGGTCATACACTATTTATCAACTAACCAAAGATTACCACTGGTTATGACTATTCGCTATGCAGAGTTGATTCCCCTTGACGTGCCATGATCTTATAATCGTGGGTTCGAATCCCAGATTCACCCTGATCATGATCATCAGTTTATCAGTTTGTCAGTACCATACCCGTGCTCGTTGATTTCACCAAAATGTTAAACGTCTAATTACACATCACAGTTCCTCCCACATGACGCTGACAGGCAGTGATGCAACTGGAATATTGTTCAAAGAGGAGTTAATGCTAATTCCATCACTTTCAGTCATATAATAAAACATCAATTTCACGAGTGACATATTTTCCGTAATCGCTCGTACCGAATGGGTGATTCTATTTATTACCCATATTCATATTAAAGACATGTTTCAAGAAAAAAACAATCAACTGTCGCCGATCAAGAATCAGCTGTTTTGTATCAATCCGAGTGTGAAAAAACACTGTCCATTCATTCCAACCGCATTACTCAATTAACGTGTTGTTACGCGTGAAAAATATACTTCTGTTAAAAAATTGTAAAGATCACATTATTGCAGTTATATTTCATATGTTTTGCAAATAAGCAGATGCTGCTGTCCGTCGTTTTCGTCCTTGTAAACTTATTTTATTGTGTCTATGTCTTGCTGAATAAAGGTCAATAGACACAGGCAGGAAAGTGACACGCAGATTCTAAATAAAATGAAATCGTACGTTACTCACCGATCGTAAGTAAATACATCGATCAATGCGTATACGTGTCAATACGTCACGCATCCTTCCCCCTGTGTGTCATGAAGCGGAAACAGTAAAAATATACCCCTTAATTTATGAGGTGAGGTGAAATGGGGTTTAACGTCGCGTCCAAGATTATTGCACTTATATAGCGACGTGCATTTACGTGTGTGTGTGGTTGCTTGTGCTAGTCCGGACTGATGCCGATTTATAGTGCTAGCTCACTGAGATGCCATGCCGCAGTTTCACATGACTACCCCACTCAGACACAGTATTCTGACTCCGAGCCGACCAGTCCTTGTTTTAGCCCCTTAATGCCGAGCGCCAGACAGGGTAACAACAAGTACCATCTTTTAACGTCTCTTAATTTATGAATCGCGTCTCAAAGGATTATGACCAGGCACACTTAAATTTGATACTGATAAACACATGTGACATACATACTGCCATACAAAATAATGTTTGTAATGCTGTAAATTATGCATGCTTTTAAATGTTATTTATTATTTCACATATGTAACATTCTCACGAGAAATATTGTATATATAATTCCCATGTAATTCCCCAGAGAGGCTTGGCAATACTTCCTCTGATGGTACAGCCCTCATTCTGTTCATGAAGAACAGACGAATCACCTCGAGTTTCCCCCCATCAAGATGGCAGATCTAATGACGTCACGCATGACGCCAGAGAGTGTCTGCATCCAACTACTGTTTCACGTGCACTCATGGGTTTTTGTACGTATATACATGTATGTGTATTGCCGATGTCTACTATGATCTTCATCAATGACTGTATTTTAAGAAACTAAAACCAATCCAGCCAGTCAGCCACGTGAGGTGAGGTGAGGTGAAATTGGGTTTAACGTCGCGTCCAAGATTATTGCACTTATATAGCCTCGTGCATGTACGTGTATGTGTTTGTGTGGCTGCTTGTACTAGTCCGGACTGATGCCGATTTATAGTGCTAGCTCACTGAGATGCCATGCCGCAGTTTAACATGCCTACCCCACTCAGACACAGTACACTGACTCCGAGGCGACCAGTCCTTGTTTTAGCCCCTTAATGCCGAGCGCCAGACAGGGTAACAAGAAGTACCATCTTTAAACGTCTTTTGGTATGACGCGGTCGAGGATCGAGCCCCGGACCTTTCGCTCTCCGGGCGGACGCTCTACCACTAGACCACGGAGGCGGGGAAATCAGCATCAGAATTAACACACATCTTAGGGGAGAGAAATGTATTGTGTTACAAAAGATTCCACAGAGTCTATGTTAGTCTATGACAATTTTAGTCAACGAGCCAAACGTATCTGAATATCCGGAATTCCTAACAATCCATTCGGTTTCCAATCTTTTCTTTTCCCAAAATATTTAACATGATCGATAAACAGAGATAATTAGGAGAATACAAACAAAAATGATTCATGCTTTTTTACTTCAGGTAGACTGGAGGCATTCCCTGTATCATAAACTCATGATAATTCCCCTCTTACCGTTTGTGTTCCGAATGCATAAAACATCAAAGTAATACCGCTTGTTCTCTTTAATGTGTATTTTCTGACTAATCTACAAAATTTTAATGCATATTGTAGTTGAGGAAAACTTCATGTCGATCCGGCACCCAATGTTTCCCTCAAGTGAATTACCTATTTTATGTTTATTTATTTCAAATTCATAGTATTTCATAAGTACACATGCATAGTGGAAAC